CTTTGACCTTTGACTAATATTTAAATTTGTTTGATCTGAAACATTAAAGTGTGACAAACATGCAAAAAAATAAGAAATCAGAAAGGGGGCCTTTTTCACACCACTGTATAATTTTATATTTAATTTAAGTTATTTATAACAAACAAATAAAGAAAGAAAATATTTTATTGCATTTTATTATATCTTGCTTTTTTTTTTAATATAAATTAGTTTTTGTAATTAAATTACTTCATAATAGTTTTCTGCCTTGATGTCACTTTTTTTCTTCACACAAATTTTTTTTGACAGTGTCTTTTCTTGCACTTGTCGCATATGGTGAGATACCAAACTCATTAAATTAACTTAAAATTATAAAAAAAATACCAGATCAGAGCAAACCCATGACATTTCTGTTTGTTTTAACAAGGTGAAGATATTAGTAATTACTGTGCATATGTTTCCTTGGCAACTGGTCCAGCTTTGTTTCAGTGCCAGTTTTTGTATTGCAGTGCACTGAGTTCATTTATAATGCAAACCGCACAACTGTTGGCCTTTGCTTTTCTGTGCTGCTACAGATGCCTAGAAGAGTCTGAAACCTCCTCCCGGCAAACTCTTTGTTTCAGGCAGCGAAATGGAGTGTAAATTGGTTTCATGAGTCTTTTTTTTTTTTTGTGAGTTTGTGTGCTGTACATGATTGGTAATTTGTGTACACAGGCAACAATCAAGTGCAAGACACTGAAACCTGAACAACTGCAACTTAGCAACAGCCCAAAAGAAGAGAGCCAAAATAGAAACCAAAAAATATTATTAATTTTTTGCAATATACTGCATACTATTATGATTGCATGCATGTTTAAACACAGAAATAATAAAATCAGTATGCTATTCCAAACATAATCCAGTCTTTTTGTCATAACTGAATTTTCATATTATGTCTAATATAATTAATGCACACTGCAGAAAAAAAAAAAATGTTATTCAGAACACAGTTAAACACTGGATATCAATGAGTGTCGATGTGTGTGAATTCCTGCAGAGAGCAGCATTTCACTGCAAATGAAAACGAAAAAAAAAAAAAAGACTGGAAATATTTCCACTTTAGCATTACATCACCCAATTTGGGGCAGCAGGGTGATTTATTAATAATAATAATAATAATAATAATAATAATAATAAATGGAGCAATTCAAACCAATTCCAAAATATACTTTAGCGTACACTAATAATAATAATAATAATAATAATAATAATAATAATAATAATAATAATAATAATAATAATAATAATAATAATAATAATAATAAATGGAGCAATTCCAACCAATTCCAAAATATACTTATCATTTTTTAGCGTAAACTATTATTATTAATACATTGTATAATAATGGTAATCATATATAATATCAATACAAATACAAGATTGTTATAATTGTCATTTCTATTTGATCATTAATAATAATAATAATAATATTTTTTAGATAAAATTGTTATATTTTATGTATTAATTTTTATTAATTTGTTATTTATGTGAGCTTTTAAAAAGTATTAATAGTAAAGATTATTGGGAAATAAATACTAGTAAAAAAAAAATAATTGTCATCTGTAATGCTGCACATAAATAATTGAAAATGCATAAATAATAAATAAATAATAAATGCTTAAATAATTTATTATTATTATTATTATTATTATAAAGACTATTTCATAGATATTATATATGGATTTTTTTTTTACAAAAATATTTTGATAATTGGCATATGTATGTTATCTATAATAATAATAATGTTCTTATTTTTATGTATTATTTCTATTAATGTATTATTTATGTGCGTTTTTATTATTATTATTATTAATAGTACAGATTATTGGGTAATGACATAAATAATAGTTTAGTCATTTGTAATTCAGTACAGATAAGTTGGACCAGATCTTTCCCTGTTCGCTAGCAAACCTCTGGCCTGTTTTAATTGTTAACCACATCACGGCCAAATTTTACCCCCATGCCAGTAGTAGAAGATGACTTCATGACCTCAGTATCTGTCCATCCGTGTGAGTAAGGCAGCAGGAGAGAGAGACAGGCAGACAAACATAGGTCTGAATGGATAGATGGAGCTGGACTCGCAGAAACACAGGCCTCTTTTGTGCAGCTTGATTGAAATTCTGCTGCTTGTGGAGTCACAGGCCATTCTAGAGCTGTGGCCAATTAGGAAGTTGGGAAACCAGGGGTCTGTGTCTGGTTGAGCTAAGAAAAAGTGTAAGAAAGCCATGAGAGAGCACTCAAACACAGCTGAGTGACATATCCTAAAGTGTCCTCAGGTTTTTTAATGGGCCCACGCCAGCCAGAATAAATGATTTCAGCTGACTGCGAGCATCAAAAACCAGAAATGCTGTAAAGAAAAGTGTTTCACCTCACAAAAATTTATTTTTGCTCTCTATTTTGAAGCTTTGTATTAATAACCTCTCCGTTTTTTGTGCGGGCAATTTGATTGATGTTCTGTAGATGGCAGTAAAACATTCTTGCTGCGGGATGGATGTGTTTTATATGCTCACACTGTCTATCACTCACTGCCGGGTTTGTGTATGGGTTTTATTTATGATAACTGGGTAATAAAGACACTCTGTTCTTCTCTCTTATATTGAGATGCAAAGATTGTGAAGGATGCGGTTGCACACGCATCCGTATGGCTCGATTGTGCGGTGATCTGTGCTTTAAAACCGAGGGCCGCATTATTGTTACACACTGAATGTCTGGAAATGACTTTGTGCACAGGAAATATATGGCTTTGTCAGCTGCCTTGGCAGTTAAGGACACACTTACAGAGAAAGTTGTTTGTAGCACTGCAGTATATCTTCCTAAAAAAAAAAAAAAACATAAAAAAAGGAAATAGTTACAAAAAAATTAAGAAGAAGAAAATTATATTGTTGTTGTTGTTTATTTTTTCCCCTATTTACTATATTTTATATAATAATAGTTGTTTTGTTGTTATTATTATTATTATTATTAATAATAATTTTTAGCTAATATTATTAATATTGTACTATTTTCTTTTATTATTATTATTTTTATTTTTTTTAGCTATTATTATTAATATTTTTACTATTTTCTATTTTGTTAAGATGATGATGATGATATTAATATAATAATAATAAGTAGTAGTAGTAGTTCTAATTACAATTTCTATTATTAATTCTTTTGTTTTTTTATTTTATATTTTTTCAAATAATAATATATCAAGCAGGAATTGTGCGCGCTCAAAAACAACAACGAGTTCTCAGGTGCGTAGAGCAAAAGGGAGTGTTTTTTCAAAACACTTTTTCCACTTTTGCATATGGAAAATAAAAACTACTTTTTTGAGAGACCTTTTTTGGTCTGATTGAAAAAAAAAATCAGTGTGCGGACAAATTCAGCGACTTGATTCAAATAATAATATGAAATAACCTAATAAAATAATATATTAAATGTAATAAATTATTATCATCATTATTATAATTGTAATTGTTATTTCGTAATATATTTTCTTTGCATTTGGGTAATGACACACACAATTGATTAGCTTGTGAAGGTCGTCTTTATAACCGGGATTTGAAGGGGAGGGGCTGAAAATAAGGGTGCTTGATGATGTCAGCAAAACGTTAAAAGTCGTTTGAGAGGCGGAGCCAATAATTACATTTGATAAAAGATTATGAAGGCAAGTGTTTTTTTTGTGTGGAGTAATGTGGAAGGCATTTCAAAATAAGACAAAGACTGGGTGTTAAAGTAAGTAAGGTCCGTTTAAATTTACTGTTGATTTGGAGTTGAATCATTATTTTTAATGTCGAAAAGTGAATGTCATCACCTGTAAACAAAATCATTTACAGCCCAATTTTGCAAGAACACTAGAAGCTGACAAAAGCTTGTGTTGCTGTTGAAAAAAAAAAAGCCAATATTTATGTATTCATATGCATATTTGGCAGCTCCTCCTACATCTTGGCAAAAACAAATGCATTTGTAACTGTTAAAGTAGTGTTCTTTTACCTGTTTGCATATGGTTAGCAGCTTCACACATTGTCTTAATGAACCTAATATGTCATGCAAAGATTCCCTGACTCTAGGAAAATTATGGAAGAAAACAAAAAACCTAAATCATCATGGAAAAGCTGGGAAACGTCACCAAGCTGACTCCAAAAATCATGGCAAAGAATTTTGCACAGTCACGACCGCTGGTTTCCCAAAAATCTCCAAACATTGCCAAACAATTTGAAACGGAAAACCAAAGTTCAGTGCGTTTCTACAACTGGAACCTCATGAATTGCAGATGATTTCGCCTAAGAATAAGACGCGCGAGATCTGGATGTTTCACACGTTCCCTAGCGCCAAGGACACCTGCTTAGATTTGAGGACAAACATGGCAGAACTGCATTAAATGGCGAGTTTATTGCATCATTGCGTGTCTGCTGGCGTTTGAGTGGAGCTAATGAATTCATCCACTTTAAAAGGCAGCGGACTTGGCCTCCGTTTCTTTTGTATAAGCATAATGGTGCAAGAAACCAACTATCGAAAGGCTTTAGTGCCTGTACTTTTTATTCCATCTCGTGAAACCCAGATAAAGGCCTCAAAAACTGCCAGCAGATTAACTAGCTGCCAGAAACATGTTCCTGAATCAAATTGATAGAATTAGATTCCATCGAATCACATTAGCTTTTGTTTCTCTAGTCCCTACTGATCCTCGCATGGAAATAAAGCAACAGGCAGCGTCTTGCCGCAATGTTTATTGGTTTCTTGGCGCGGGACTTTATGATGTAGTATTTTATAGTTTGTTGGGTTTTTTTTCCCCCCTCAATAATTGTTTTCTGCGCTTTGAGTTTGAGATCGATAGATACACCCAAACCTATGGGCCCCTGAGACCCTCACAGAGAGAGACAGATGGAGGTGAGCTGCTTTTATGACAGCTGGAAGAGCGTTTGCTGTATTTGTTGGGGTTTTATGTACATTGAACTTGCTGTTACCTCTAGTCATGGGAGAACAAGCTGTAGATTTATGTTATGAGTAATTTAAACAATGATTTCAGAACTGTGTCCTTCAGTCATTCACTCACACACAGTTCACAATCACCAGAAAGATTAGTTAGTACTATCTATCTATCTATCTATCTATCTATCATCTATATCTATATCTATGCATAATCTCATTTCTCATTATTCAGTGCTCTCTCTCTCTCTCTCTCTCTCCCGTCGTCCTATCACCCTTCTTTCTCTCTCTCTCTCCCCCTCCCATCCTACCTCGTTATCCTCAAACTGAGGCGCACGCAGTCCGTTCTGTCCGTACAGTCACACACACAAACACACACACACACACACCTGCGGGAGGAGCTGCGCTGCGGGGCGGAGCGGAGCGCTGCGGGGCTTGAGACCGGCTTTGCTCACACTCAACTTGGGCATCATCATCATCGGCGCTGGCGGATAGCGGATCTGCTCGGGACTACATCCAGCCACGATGTCCGACTTTATTTTGGCATTTCTGAGCATGTCGGGATTAATTCTACTGGTTAAAACACTGACAGTGGCTGGGGCTGAGCAAGGTAAGACATTCTTAACGTATTTATTTGCATGTATTAACATATGTTATTGTTAAAGTATTAATAAGTATCGTATTTGTTTAATATTAAAATAAAACTTTTGTGTATGTTGAGAAGTATCTATCTATCTGTCTATCTATCTATCTATCTATCTATCTATTGCTTAGTAGCTCTCTTTATTTATCTTTTTTTTACTTATTATTATATAACTTGACATGTAACAGAGAGAGCGCCTGGCAGACTGACTAAATCAATAAGTTAAGTGGCTTCCTTATTTGTAGAAGTTGTAGTTGAAGAAAACAGCTTTTAACCATTTGTTAAAGTTGTCTTTAACCTGTATAGAGTGTGTTTCTTTACCTTTCAAACTTAGACTCTTGAAAATAAAGGTTCTTGATGGTTCTTACACCCCCTTTTTTATCAAGAACCTTCTTTCATGCCCTTGAGGACCACTTGATTCTTTGGAGATGACAAAACTGCTTGTGGCTGCATGATGCAATTGAGTTTTTTTGGTTTCAGGTTTCTGGAGAACCCCAGAAAGGCACATTTTGGATGTCTACCTTGTTTAAAACACCTTCATTAGATCATTAATAGAGGCTCCAAGACCTGACCTGGGTGTGTCGGATAAAGGAAACTTGCAAAATTCAGTTCTAAGACTAGACATAGCATCCAAGTTTGAAAGAATTGAGGAAATAAAGTTCTTTGTGGAACTTCAAGGCTGTAAACCTAATTTTCGGTCACCTTTATTTGTAACAGTAGATGGTTTAACTGGGGTATGAGTGTCATTTTTCATAAAAGCATCTGCTACTGACTCCCTGATGGCTTTTAAATGCAGTGTCATCTTTGTATTATTAGTAATAATGCAGTGCGTATGTGTTACACTGATCCATCAGATGCGACTTAGAACTCGGTATAAATGGCAGGGCTGCATTTACAGCACAACCATGAACGGTTTATTAGGTTAATAGCAAATGCAACCGAATGATTCATCATTTAATGGCATTATGGATACCTAAAACTGCCAAAATTACCTTGATTAGACACTTTATGAACCCTCGTGTTTAGTATGACATACCAGATGACGATTTTAATATCTTTGAAAACATGAAATATCAAAATTTACACTTGATATCTATAAAACATCCTCCATGAGAAATGATACAAAATGGATCTCCGTCTGCTAAGTTTCTCTAATTAACAAACACACTGTAAAAGTGCCAGCTGGCCACGTATCTGATAAGTTTTTGTCTAATTTGTGAGCTACAATGCTTTAGAATCTGAATAATGGATTTTGGTTTGGGTTTTTATACATAAAAAGCTCAACAGACCACAAGGATTGGTTTGTAAATGAAAATAGATTTACTGTCCATGTTGAAATGAACATTTCATGTGGGGTTTGTTACAAAGGGATGGTGTGTTACCAAGTTTATCGAGCAGACATTCAATAAACCATTGACAAAATGTGGTTACCCTAAACAAATCAAGCAGCTCCCTAAGGGTTCCATTACAGCGAACCGAAAACACAAATGGCCTATAGACTGAATACTTAGTGTGGTAAATGTGTGTCTGTCATTGTAATGTCGGCTAGATATTTTCTTTCGGGTGATATATCAATCTGTCGGATGGAAATATGTCACGTTATTAACACTAGAGCAGAATTTTCTTGAATGCAAAAACCGAATGAAGTTTGCATTCCATTTTCGATACATAATGTGATTTTGACCTTCATGTCATTGTGCTTGTTTTTGTAAGAGTTTATCTTCAGCTAAACTGCTTCATTGTTTGAATGCAATTTCGCAACATGGCTGACAGGAACTAGATTTCTTATAAATGGAATCAGGTGGCGTTGTGGTTCAGGTGTTAATTTTGGCTCCGATTCCTCTCTGTGTTATTCTGGAAACAATCTTTGGCTAAAAAAAGTTGTAAATTGATGTAAAGAATGACGATTTTGGAATCAGTTTTGTGGGTGATAGCAATCTGAACTGCTGGGCTGGTTATGAATGCATTTTTCTTGGGATAGGCAGTTGTTAAATGTCAGTGCTGCATTCAATTTTTCATATTGGTTCAAGACTTGACTCATGACTCAGTTGTGAAAGACATGTTGGCTTGAGAAATGCTCTCCTCTCGCGCTTGGATTCTGTTTTGGCAGTGTGGATCTATTTACCGCAGTTCGGTCATGGTTTTATAATCCATTACTGAAGTGAATTCATCCTTATTTTTATTAATGTTCATTAAGTTTTGGGTGTTTAGCTTCATTTAACAGATCTTAAAATGACCACATTTTAATGTGAAGTTGGATGAATTGTTTTTGAGAACACATTGTTAGCACATGTGCCTTAGGGTCAGGACTGAATATTTATCATTAGGACGTAGCGTTTAATGTTTTTCAAAATAGACATAACTTAAAAGCAGCTGCAGTATTAGACGGCATTGGATGTGGTACCAAAAGATTTTTTTGATGTGACGTCAAGGGTATTTATACATTATTCACTTAATAATGATATTTAATCATGTATTATTGATACATTTATATGGATCAGTATTAAAATATAATGTATAGTAATGAACTGCAATATTTATGTCTATAATAGTATAGTATAGCTTCATTTCAAATTATTTAATTCAAGAAATAAAATGTTTTAAAAATTTTAAGTATTTGTACCATTTTTACTAAATAATGATATTTAATACATTTTAGTTGTTAAAATTATTTATGTGAATCAATATCACAATATATAGTAAGAAACGGTAATATTTACCTGTACTGAATGTGTGGATGTATGGATGGATGGATAGATAGATAGACAGATAGATAGAAGTGTATTAATTAAGTATCGGTAAATTATAAATTTATAGAAGGCATGAACAAATCTAATCAGTGTCTTGAATCAATCCATTAAAATAAATGAAAATGACTGTTTGAACCGTGAAAAATCAAATCTAACACTGTTTTTGCTTCTAAGATATGCTCTTAAACATCTAAAAAAAAAAATACAGTGTTGCTTAATTTTGTATTGGCAGCATCACACTGCAGGCATTCAATATGTCGTCCAGCTTTAGTGTGTGTGTGTGTGTGTGTGTTTTGTTCATGGTCATCTTAAGTAGCTGAACTTTGGGTTGTGCAGCCTGAGGGTCTCCTACAGTACTGTCAGTCAATTCAGCTGCCAGCTGTTCCGGGATCCTCTTCAGCCTGCGTTCATGTACCTACTGAAAGCTATGCCTGATGTTTATTCCCTCTTCTCTGTTTCTGTCTAGTTTGTTATTGTGTTTCTTGCAGAACGAAGTTTAAAAACAGGTGCGAAGCAATAGATCGCATGATATAGAATGAAACACATTTCCCATTCCTCAAACAGTCGTGCATAATTTCACAGTATCGCTTATATTTAGGATGTATGAACAAATGCCAGGCTCACCTGTCGATGATGCAGTCCTTGACCTCCAGTTTCTCAAGTCAGATTGACATTAAAATCATTCAGATGTGGACTCAAGAACCAAGATGTCAAGAACCATGTGTGTCTCCTTTTCTTTGAAATCTTTGGTTACAAGTTCTAGGCTATATTTTTTTACTATTAATAAAACCTTACATTTAATAAAATAGTAATAAAGTGTGTCCCTTTGTTTTTATTATTATTATTATTATTATTATTAGTATTATTTATTCTAAATCACAGTCCTGATAAAACAAACAAAACTAAATCTTTAATTTATTAATTAATAGGAAATAAAACTTTCCCAACTAAGGAATATTACGTTTTATTTTTCATTTAATACATTGGACATCCATTAAATAATAACAATTTACCAGAACAGTTTATTTATATATTTTATATTTTATATTTATTTAATGTGATGATCTAATGATAGAAAATCACAAATTCATTTTAAACTGTATTTACACTGCATTTGTCTGAAACCTTGAAACCTTGGTAACAGTGTTGAAATATTTTTATTTTTTTAATTTAATATTGGAATAAATCAGTAAATAATTTCTAAACATCTACATTTTATAATTATTTAATGTGTCATGCTAGAGAATTGCAAATTCACTAGTATGTTTTAAACTGTATTTAAACATGTCTGAAACTTGAAAAATATTTTGTTATATAATTTTAACATCTTTAATCATTTTATTTTATATTTATTTAATGTTTATTGCTAGACAAATGCGAAAAATATATTTATTTACACTAAAAAATGCTGGGTTGTGTCAACCCAACTTTGGGTCAAATATGGACTAACCTAACCGTTGGGTTAAATTTTTTAATAAAAATTTAATTTATATTTAAATAGTCCATATTTGGGTTAAAACAACCCAGTATTTTTTTATGTCTGAAATTTTACAAAAATATTTACACACACACACACACACACACACACACACACACACACACACACATCCATGAACTAATTTAAAAACATCTAAATAATATATTTATTTAATATATTTTTTTTAATGTGTAATGTTAGAAGATTGCAAGACCATAAATATGTTTTAAAACTGTATTTAGACATGTCTGAAAATTTGGTAACATGGTTGAAAAAATGCTAATCTCCATTTAAAATGAATGCAACAGCTCCACAATATTATTAATAATATTAACTAATACTAAATCATTTGTATCTTGATCTCTCAAGTTAAGGCTGAGCACCTCCTTTCACAGACTCTTTGTTGACAGAAAAAAACAACTTAAAAAAAAAAAAATTGTCCCATTTTTGCAGAAAGTGCCAATTCATTACTGCAAATGCTCAGATGTTTCTGTTTGTGAAGGAAATCATTACTTGGCACGTGACTGGAGTATGAAAACCTTCAGTTTCAATGCTAATGGCCGATTGTAGTCTTGGAGATGGTTGCAGTTGTGTTTCTAACCCATTAGCGAGAGTAAAAATGTCTGCCTCTATCACAGAGAGTGATCCTTTGATCCTTGAGATTTATGGAGACAGACTTCAGTAAGGAGGAGTTTTAACTCGCCCCTCATGCATCAGAGGATTATGTACTTCAGTAAGTT